GACAAGCAAATCAAGCTACATCCTAAGTCACATATGTATGTGTTTGAGTCAAACTGCAACCTAAGGCACATAGGAATGTGTTTGTAGACTATACCGATGACTCTAAGTTGTATTGTTGCTATGATCTAGTGATGCGACAAATCATTTCTATAAATGATGTGACATTTTTGAGAATATATCAAGTCATTTTAAGGCTATCCACAAGTTTGTGGATCTATTCAGTGAATTTGACACTGAATATGAGACATCGAACTGATTGTTGCAGCTAGAGGATGATAATTTTGAAATGTATGCACACCAAAGTATTAAATAGTCATCTTAACCAACATCAACATCTTCATGAACATTATCAGCATTGCCACAAAGAAATTTACTTTTTTGGACTTCTGATCTTGGTCCAAGACGTAATCCTAGTCGACAAACCAAAAAACTTCTTCAGTTTTTGCGGAATAATTATCATATATCAAATCACACCTTCCTCAATAGTGGAGACGACAAACCAAAACACTTCTTCAGTTTTTGTGGAATAATTATCATGTATCTAATCACACCTTCCTCAGCATAGTGGAGACGTGACAACCTACAGATAATCAAAGGTCAGTGACTAAAGCTCTCAAGAATTTTCTGTGAAGATGAGCAATAAATGAGAAGATTGACTCCTTTATTTCAAATTTCACATGGGAACTCGTCAAGCTTCCTTAAGTCACGCAAGGCGTGTCGTCTAAATAGAGTTTCAATGCCAAACCTCAAGTAGATGCTATAACTTTAAGATTAAAATTACGTTTGATGGCTAGAGTACTGAAACAAAACATGGCATTAACTACAATGAAATGTTTGCTCTTGTGGTATGATCATCAATTCTCCAAGCTCTTACTTTATTGTGTGTAGCTCTCGGGTGGAAATTGCATCATATGGATGTAATCATTGACTTCCTGAATGGAAAGCTGCAAAAAAATATTTACATTAAACACCCATTCTATTTTAAGCAGCCAGGCCATGAACATCTTATTTGTCTTCTCAAAAGATCAATCTATGGTATGAACAGTCTTTAAGACAATGATACAAAGAGAGTAACTCTCATTTGCAATCAGTTGGTTGAGCTCAAAGCAACTTTGATACCAACCTCTACTTTTTCAAGGAGTTAAGATCATCACCGTGATACTTCTCTATGTGGATGATCTACAACTTCGAGTAAGCTATCCAACACGCATTGCGAAGACTAAGACGCAACTACACCAACATTATCGGATGAAGTATCTAGGGCATGTCTCCCGATACCTTGAACTATTGTCTTTCATCATAGTATTATAAATGATTGAGTATAGTTGTTGTACATCTAATGATAACCATTGTTTTCAATCATCTTTATTTATTATTTCTTGGAAATGAAAATATGATAAAGAATTTGCAGCATGCATCTTCAATAACAAAAACTTCATGAATATTCATCGAAAGTTCTTATTTCTATTTATGTGATAATGGCTGACAATCAATTTGAGATCTTAGGCATATTATATGAAGAATTGTTCTATAAGATTAAATCAAATAATTATCAATATCGTTTTGAATACTATATATAATATAAATATAAATTCTAATTGTCTTTATATACATCACTCTCAAATGATATTCTACAAGCTTGAAAATTATGCATAACACATTGAAATTTTCTGCTTAAATCATGAATGATATGATATGTAGTTTTTTATTTCATAAATTTTTATATTAATTTTTATATTTGATAGAAAAATACGAGCAAATTGATGTGGATTGATTAAAAAAATTTAAACTAGATAGTTTTCAATTTTAATACTTTGATTTGTTTCATCAGCAGTTGTTATATTCAAGCGATCTAATTAGAGCAACCGATATCTTTCAAAAAGCAAACTAACACATGAAATAACAATTATATAGATCTTAGAACCAACTACAATGCAATCATCTGAAATTGAAAACTCATCGGTTTGAAGTGCGCTCTCTAAACTGTGACAACAATGATATTCAATCCCTTTCAGGTTATCAAAAACTGAAACCCCTTGTGTTACAATTCTGTGATTTCTCTAGAGAACATCGATTGCTTGTAAATCTAATTTATCGCACCTCCACTCAGTTCGTTTGTTATTGATCAAGAAAATCATCAATTGGTTGATGGCGACTCAACGTCATATGGTGGTACAACATCCGTATAAGACTTTTGCACTGCAAAAGTCTTATTCGGATGGTGAGCAAATCCCCCATTAGGAAAAAACAATCCTCTTACCTACAAAATTTGCTGGTAATAGAGGAAACTACTTGATGGGTCCCAAGTAAACTCAAAAACTTGATGGAAACCAACAGGTTTTATTTTACTCGACGGACCCTCTCGACGTCACACCGTCAGCTATGTTCCAATACTACAAGTCTACACCATCGTGGATTCATGGTTGGACGGTGAGAACGAGCGAGAAGAAGTGCTCCTGATGACAAGATTTGCGCTCTCGTTCATTCTGCCCAATTGTGCAGTAAGGACAGACATGGTGCAGGTTATGAATGTTCTTACGGAGACCCTGCAAATATAATGCGAAATCGTTGAGCATCAGAGCACGCTACTTATCCACTTGTTCTATGCTCTGGGCATCTGAAGCCCGAATTTCCTCCAGAGACTTTCTCAGCAACTTCTGACTCTTATCCTTCGTCTGAGATTTACACTCATCCACCTTGGAACACATACCCCTCATAGATCTATCTTTAGAAGCACAGGATGTCAATCCATCTGTTGAGGCTGAGATTTCATACATGATTCGCCTCAATTCAGATCTTAGCTCCCATTGTCAAGCACCAAATTTCCTTCGAAATTATACCCTAAGGTGGTTCCTTTGATATAATTCGGGTAGGAAATTCTCGGTGTTTTTTCAGATGCAGATATGGCAAGACGCTATCGGGAGTACTTCAGCGTCATGGTGCGGGTCGAACGAGTCCCCAAATTAATCTCAATGGAGAGAGTATTCTGGCCCAATAGTGGCAAACACTATCCACACTGCAACACAAATTATCAGATTATAAAAACTTTGATTAGAACATGTCCGACGGTGACCTGCATGGCCGATGAATGGGGTGCCATCGGGTATAATAAAAACGTTGGGTCCCATCAAGTAAATTGAGTTTTCCAAGGTTCCATCAAGTAATTATCTCCATGTAAGAGTATTGTATTTACTCCTCGTGTTGCAAAACCATGGATCTAATATAGGGTAGATATTCTAACCAAAGAAAGTATAGGTTATAGAAACAAGGAGTGATATTCATGGCCGAATCAACTCCTTCTATTTGATTTAAGGAATGAACTTCTCTTGATCCATCAAAAATTCGATAGGAGGCATGGAGAAAATAGTGATTAAAGCAACCACGAAAATGCAAAGCAGGGGACAGAAAAATCCAATGTACACCCAAAGAGTATCACAGAATATATCACTATCTTCAGCTGAGCACACGAAGGGGATGAAAAACCGTCGACCACACCGAAAACAAAGCAAATGACCAGGGAAGTTCAGATGCGTAGTGTGGCTGTGCAATAAGTGTACATGTGCGAATGTGGCAGGGCGGGCACACTCGAGATCAAGTTTTTTATAATGCGTCCCAGGATCAAGTTTGGGCCCTTGAACAACTCGTCGTTTCGGAGATGACCTTCTTTTGTTGAAGATGTGCTGCATGATCTTCTGTGCTTTGCCAACATTTGTGATTACAGAAGTTGCAACCTCCGATGGGGGACCCACTTGAGGAGTGCATTTGGACAGTCGGAGTTGATAAATATTTATTGCTCCGGATCTTGACTCTGCTCGAAGAGCCAAAGACATCATCTACAGAGAGTACGCAGCGTCCATAAGAGGACTCGGAAGAAGTCTTCCAGATTCTCATTCTCACAAGATTCTTGACGGTGCTTTCGAGGGTTGAGCCTCTCTGGTGTATGCAAGCTCGTTAAAAGCCCAGTCCAATCACCCCATTAGGTGCGACAACTGAAGTGTCTCATGGCTCTCTGAGAGCACGTGGAGAGGCTAGACGACCTTTCGACAAACACTGGAAGTGTGTGTATCAGTCATTCCCGTCATGAACAACTGGGCATCACATACCATGAATTTGTCAGCAGAGTAAGTATAGTGTAGATTATTTTATGCGAACCATGAATTTGTCAGCAGAGTAAATAGTGTAAATTATTTTATAAGAACCCTGCGTGTACGGTGTAACTCTGTTGAATCTAGTCCCGAGGCCTGCGTGACGTTAAAGACTAGTTCAAGTCCCGGAAGGTTTCTTGACCGCAACCGCGGCGAGGTAGAGGCTCTACCGTAGAGCAGATGCGAGCCGTAGAACTACTGAGCTCACATTGCAGGCTCGAACGCCAGAGCACGGAACGACGACCTCAGTCCATTACACAGGTTTTAAAGTAGGCAGCGTGAATTTACGGCCGAGTTTTCATGCGAAGTAAAAATTACTCACTACCTGCAATTCTAACAATACTGAATCAGTCTCAGCTGACCACACTGAGCTTGTTTCGGACACAGCTCGACTGCTCGGATTGGACCTTCTGTCGTAGATATTGGTATATAAGCAATGTACTGCAGTTCCCTGTAGTGTTGGATGTAAGTTTGGGTATGACTGATATCGTTTCCCGTTTGCCAGTGTCTTTCTCGATAGTTGTACTTCCTCACACTGGCTGAAGGAGGCGAGAGATGTCATTTTTTCACGAGGTTTAACCATGCGTGTCAACGATCGAAGATTCAACATTCACCTTAGGCTGCTCTTCTTTACCGTCATCTTCGTAAAGTAATTTACAATTTGGTGAGACACGTGAATAAAGCAGATACTACTGGATATTCTGATTCTTACCGTACTGCCCCCTACCGCTCTTCCGATCAGTGCCATGCCACCCTGACGCCAGAGATTTTCTTTCTAGTCAATCGTGACTTCGGACTATCCAGCCACACATCCATCAAGAGAGGAAATCACCAATCATGAATGATTAAATGTCGATTGGTTGAATGTATATAATTACATCTGACCGCCATGACGCCTCAAAAGTTCATGGGACATAGGTTTAACAAATAATATTTCAGTAACTCTTTCATACTACTCTGGGGTCTATGGTTTACAGGCTATCACAAGCACATCCTAATGAGCACAGTTATATAACCCTGCTTATTCGAGGCTAAAACTTTGCTAATTTGGTAACCTTGTAGTCCTCTTTATCTAAAAAAAAAAACGTTGTACAAAGTAAGTAAACTAGCTCTGTGCTAACAAATCACACTTTACAAGTAATCAAACAGTACTTGAATGTTGTACTGAGGCTTCAGGAAAACTCGGTACAGTGTTTGTACTAGAGAGTAGTACGAATGATTGGATGATAGATTGATAGTACATGAATGCGGTCGTAATGGGAAAAGGTAAAGAGAAGCAGAAATCAGAAAAATCTACATAAAAATCGTGGAGCTGAGGTGAGTTCTAGTTCAGATCGCGAGTTGGGATTCTGAAGTTGCTCGAAGTTGCTTGGGCTTCTTGTATCTCTTCAGCCATAACGAGGAGCAGACGACGCTGACAGAAGATGCAGCCATGGCAGCACCGGCTACCCAAGGAGGGAGGCGAAAACCTGTGGAGGGGAAGAGGACGCCTGCAGCAATTGGAATGCCCAGCACGTTGTAGCCCAAGGCCCAGACGTAGTTCAATCGGATGCGGAAAAACGTCCTCCGGGAAAGATGTATCGCCGTAATTACATCTTCTAAATTGCTCCTCATCAGCACAATATCCGCGGCTTCTATTGCGATGTCCGTGCCTGCACCAATGGCCATACCGACATCCGCTGCCACTAGAGCAGGTGAGTCGTTAATACCGTCTCCAACCATCGCCACTCCCAATTTGTGTTCCAGCTGTAGCAGTCACAAACTTGTGTCAAATGCAGATTTTCGTTACTTTCGATTACTACCACATTCTTATCTAGAAAAAGCTGTTCAAAAAACGGATTCGAATAGACAGAGGCTCCGATTTCTCCGATAGAGATAGAACCTAGACAAATTAGAGTTTATAGGAAACCCTGAAGATGAATGGCAATACTGTGGTAGTGTTTTCTTCAACAGCTATGTCAAACCAAATTTCATCTATTTGTTCTAGTTTTGTCGCTTGGCTTCGATTGAATGTTTTTGATCCAACAGAGAGTTGTTAACTCTCTTTAGACTTATTACCAAGGGCCAGCGGAGCAGCACAGAGCGTTCGTAACCAAATTAGAAGTTGTAGCAAAAAAACAGACTAGAATATACCTGTAACTTTTTCACCTCCTCCGCCTTACGCCCAGGAGAGCATTCTGCCTTCACTGTCTCAATTCCGACTTCTTGGCCTATTGCCTTCGCTGTGCCCCAGTTATCACCTGTAACCATTATGCTACGGATGCCCATACTTTTCAATAAGGAAACAACTCTGGCGGCTTCTGGCTTTACAGGGTCTGATATTGAGATAAGTCCAACTATTTTCTTCTCAAAAGCCACCAAGACTCCTGTTCGAGCAAGCTGCTCAGTTTCATCCAAGTACTCTTGAACGTCCTCTGAAATCTCAATACCCTGTTCACACATCAGCTTTCGGTTGCCAATGTACACTTCTTTGTCCTGGACAATGCAATGCACACCTTCACCTGGAATTGCTTGAAAATTCTGGGTTTCCAGAGATCTTTCATTTGATCTCTCTTCCCCGAGTGTTTTGACATATAGAACAACAGCCTTTGCTAGAGGATGTTCGCTGTTCGCCTGCAGTCATCAACCGTCTAGTTAGGAATGAATCACAATAGGTCTGCCAGCCAGGGGTTTCTGCAGTGTTTTCCAAACTCGTTAATAGACTCTAAAATAAACAGCAACCGTTGTAGTTTGACTTACAAGATAAACAAACTGCACATTTTCTTATTTCGTCTTATCGGTTCACGGTTCAGCTAAGCGTATGTGACAGACTTGTTCCGGCACCTTGAACATTTGTATATATGCTTCCTCATGACGGTGCAGAAACTAACCTCGGCAGCAGCAACGATCCTGTAGAAGTTTCTGAGAGCGATGTTCTCAAACAGCTTTGTATCAACGACAAGTGGCTTGCCTGTGGTCAAAGTACCTGTTTTGTCAAAGACAACACATTTCACCTGTATCCACAACCCGGGTTAGACGTACTTCTCTAACATGCAGTTAGCAACTCAACGACTTATCGGAACCTGTTCACACCGAATATGTCCTGGAAAGAATTTAGACATCATTCCATTTTAAACCTTGAGTAGCAAGGCATGATCCTCCGACTTATGTCCGAGACTTATATGAAACTTTTCTTTTATATTTTGGGCACAGGCAGGATGCAGGTACCCTGTGTGTGGAACAGAATGCTTCTACGTCAAGCTGATCTAAGATAACGTTCTTCGCTACTATCGACTTCTGAAGACAAATGTTTTGATCCTATCGACGTAAATTGTTCAAGAACTGCCACATGGTGAGTGGTATACGACGGATGCAAAAGTTGAGGAAGAAGCCCAGATGCCAAGTCTCCCGTTCAAAAATTCCAAAGATCTAGTCATGAAACAACTATAATTAGAGTCTGCCCCCATTGATAAGTTTTGTAGTCAGAGGTTTATTTACCTTGTGAGCGCTTTCTAGAGCATTCCCTCCCTTGATAAGAACACCTTGCTGAGCGCCCTTTCCAGTAGCAACCATCACTGCAGTGGGAGTAGCTAGTCCAAGAGCACATGGACATGCAATGACAAGAACTGAAATTCCAAACTGCAGAGCGAGTTCAAACTCATCCATTGCGGACGGAATCCAGGACTTGGGATAAGAATGAGTTCTACCAGCAGCAAACCAAGCCACTCCAGTAACAAGGGACATGAGCACCACCTACACGTACGCCAGACATTGCCAAGTAAAATGTTACTACATGATTCGCAGAGCATGACACAACCTCCGTACACTCTTTATATTCCCTTCCTACAACATCCGTATGATTAACAGCTCAAAGGTTGGTCAGGAATCTGCACACGGAAAACAACCTCAGAAGCTTTGTAAGGTCTATAGCACATACCAGGGGCACAAAGTACTTCGAAATCCTGTCAGCGAATTTTTGAACGGGAGCCTTAGCCATCTGGGCTGCTTCCACCAGTCTTACAATCTGGGAGAGGGCGGTCTCGGAACCGACATGTGTTGCACGAACATGGAGAACTCCATTCTCGTTCATGGTTCCACCGATCACTTTGTCACCTTCCCGCTTCAATATTGGTCGGGCTTCTCCTGTGATCATGCTCTCGTTTACGTGAGACTGTCCCCACTTCACAAGACCATCGGTTGGAACTTTGGATCCAGGTTGCACTTTAATCAAGTCGTTTCTTTGTACAAGCTGCGAGCTGATCTCCCTCTCCTCCACCATGTCCCCTTCCTCGTTCACCGTAAGAAGTATCGCAGTGTCCGGGGTTAAATCCATAAGCTTCGCTATCGCCTCGGAGGTTTTGCCCTTGGCAAGAACCTCAAGATATTTCCCAAGGAGAATGAAGGAGATGAGCATGGCACTGGTCTCGAAAAAGTCAGTGCCCTTGAAGTTGTGCGTCGTGGCGGCTCTCATTATAGAGTAAACAGAGTAGAAGTAGGCCGCATTGGTTCCCAGAGCTATGAGAACGTCCATGTTCGCAGAACCATGGCGCAGAGAGTTGTAGGCACCTACATAAAAGCGCCAGCCTATGACGAACTGTACCGGAGTGCTCAGGATCCATCTCAACAGCTGCCCAACATCCAGATTATTCACCACCTTGGTTTCCAGCCCGTGCATGACTTTCGGTATGTACATGAAAACCATGGACAGGAAGAACACGGGGACAGTGAAAACGCAGCTCCAAAGAAAGAACTTCCAGTATCGGTCTATTTCGTCTCGTCGGTCTGGCCCTCCATGACCTGGCTGAGTACAGAGAGTTGCCCTGTACTGGATATCTCCGGACCCTGACTGCTCAACTATTTCGATGAAATTCCTCGGTCCCGTAAGATCTGGATCGTAGAATACCACTACCTTCTCGCCTGTTGGACTCATATCGACGGATTTCACGCCCCATAGAGATTGCAGGGAGAGTTCGATGAGTTTGATTCCTTCTTGCGAATTCACGCCCTCTAATTTAAGTTGCACTTTGTTCCTCTCCTCGCCAGCGCTTATTAGCTCGACTTCGAACCCGGCGTCGTCAACAGCGGCCATCAATTCTTCATGGTTTACGACGTTGGGATTGTAATGAACCTCGGCTTCTTCTGTCGCCAGGGCAACTACGGCTTTCTTGACTCCTTCCAGCCTCTTCAGAATCGCTTCTATCGATCCCGAACATGATGTGCAAGTCATGCCCTTGATTCGCATTCGGCACAGGGCCGTGGTCTCCATTACACCGAAATCTTCGATGATAGACGCTTCGAACCCAGCATCTTCGATGGCCTCCCGAATGGCCTCCTCCTGCAATTTCACAAGATCTCACTTTCAAGTCCAGAAAAACCAACCATGCCGGCCACAATTGAAAGACTTCACTCTCAATGAAGTTTCTGAATCCTATTCCTCGTCCTACATGAACCGAGCAAATTCTTGGATACCTCCGCGAACGGTGTTTTCTTAAGCCTAACTATGTGAAGACATTCCTGCTCAGCAATCAACAACCCACATGGCACGAACTCAAAATTTCCTTCTCGAGGGAAACGCTGATAATGTGCTCCTCTTGCTTGGGCATAATCTTCATCTTAGCATCCACGGATCGAAAATTGGAGCATCTGTCGCAGAGAAGAATGGAAATACCTGGACGACCTCGGGATGGTATACCACTTGAGCACGATTCTGGAGTACCGCCACGGATGCATTGACGATGCCCGGTAACCGTTTTACGGCCTTCTCAATCGAGGCTGAGCAGGCAGCGCAAACCATGCCCAAAACCTTCAAGGTCACTTGCCGGGATTCAGCCGCGTCTCCATCATCACTCCCCGAAGGTATGGGAGGATAATGAGGAGCAGGTAGCAGCACAAGCCTTTCGCTGATGCTGCCATCTCTTCTCAAACTCGAAGCCCTCGAGTTCGATCTCGACTGCGTAATGACTATATTCACAGACATTTTACCTCCAAGTGTTCAAGAATTCTGAATCACTGGAGTTTCCTCCAACAGAGCTCCAAGCAACCCTCGATCCCTCGACGTCTCTGCCCGACCGCCCCGCCAAATGAAGAATCTTCCACGCGAAGCTACCAGCGCGCGCTTGGGATCGAAACCCCGTAATCCCCTTGCAAGAGCAGATTACTCGCTCTCGAAGCTCCTTGTCGACTCCAGAATCCGAATTCCAGCTCACGTGACGACGACGACGACTCCTCTTGTCCTGAATCCACCACCGAGTGCTCGATCGCCGCTCGAAGCAATCTAATATACTCGACTGCACTCCACCTCCGACCCAGAGAATGAACAGAAGCTGCGGCTTCCAGAATTTCCTCCCGGACTGCTGCAGAAATTCATAAATTTGAATTTAAATGTTCATACCCGAATGATGATCATCATCATGGCCCTCATCGCGGCTCTCGAACTCGACTTCTTCCTCCTTCCCAACTCACCTCAACTCGGGTCAACTCGCTCGCTGGAGCTCTTATCAACAGAGGCCTGCGAATCGAAGACCACCTGCCCGGGAAATTTCTTCCCCTGGCCTGCCTCGCAAGATTCACTTTTTTTAGTGCCATCCCCGCGAACCTGCAAATCTGCCGCCATCGCCGGCACGATCCAACACAAACTTGTCCTGTCCTCCTTGTCCTCTAGCAATTCTGTGACGCCCGCTGCTGGCGCAATGCTGAGGATCGTCGGGGGCTCGAGCTCCCCCCGAGGCCCCACTTGCATGTCAACACTGTGTCTCCATGGAATAAGAAGCGCTTTGCGACCACTCGCACTATATTACAAAGCAACAGCCAAAGGCGGCGACATGAGCACCAACCCTAGGGCCAACAGAAAACGAGGCTAAGCTAATCTCTCTCTCTCTGTCTCTCGATGTGGACTACCAACCGTGCTCAGAATGTCTCCTAGCTGCAGAAGAAGTTCATGGTGATATCGACATGTCTACAACAAGTTTCACCAATCTAAGCTATCTGTCTCATGATGGCGTCGAGTAAATCACCTTGTAATCCAATGCAAGTCCTATTTATGAAAACATATGGGACAACGTTGTGCACCAAGAAAATTAATCATGGCCAAGACTGACAAACTCTATCACTATAACTTTCTTTCTTTCTGTCTTTCTTCCAGCCACACTGTGCATCTCTCAAGTCAAGTGTAATGAAGATATGTCTGTCATGAAGTCCTTTACACTTGCGCATGTGAACATCTTTGCCAATCAGTTTTTTATGCTCGCCGACCTTAACAATAGCCAAACAACAAAAGACATTCCTTAAACATAAAAAAAAATAAAAAGTGAAATTAACCACGAAAAAAAGTACTCATTGTCATAAAAAAGTCTTTATAAAAGAAAATGAAAAAAATCATGAGTATGTGAATTCGTTAGTCCCAAGTGTTGCTTAAGAAGAACCAAAGAATAATAAGTTCAACCTTTATAAAAATGTTCAAAGTTGCTTGGAAGTTTTTGGAAAAATCCTCGGTTTCTCCATATGTGTCAATCGAGAGTTGGATAAGTGGCCACTACATCAGTCACAACAACTCGGTGGTCCTTAGACATGTGAAGTTCAGCACATAAGTTCTCGATTTAATAATGGTGTAAGATTGCTCTCTCGAACTATGAATCGTGCATAGTAAATTTTCTCACCTCAAGATAAGATAGAAGACAACATGCCAAAGAGTTACTTATGCATGTAGATCCTGACCACACTCGTATGTTAGAGTTTCAAGGCTAAATCAAAGCCTTCACTAGTAGACAAGGCCGCAAAGATAAGAATCACAGTTCACTTGTGAAAAATATTCGTTAAAGAGTGATCTACAGAAGATGCTGATTGAAGAGCGTAATACAGGGCGTAAGACCACCATCGAGTCACAACTACCCAAAAATGCTGATGAGGCAAAATCTACCATGACAAAGTCGACCCATATTTTTTAAAAGTAATCAACAATTAAGCTTGTTGAGTGGTTAAGTTAATGATCATGAGGTGATTCCCGGGTTTTCTCTTATAAATATCAACAAATTGAACCATGAAAGAGGGAGTGGTGCTTTTGATTAAAACATGATGGGCAGCAATTGTGGCTTTGGGATTCTAATATTTCCACCCAAAAAAATAAACAGCAATGAACAACTTATTCCTCCCCAACCGAGAAAGTTGAGACTTGTTCTGACATGACTTGATAAAAGTATTCAAGTTTAACCACCGATAAGTTTAGGGGTTAAAGTCTACATCGTCTAGTGTCCGAGAACAACTTTTCTTCAAGGAGGCGACGGTAATTCGACTTCCCCTAGGGTCAATTTAAAAGTCCTTAAACAAATTGAATAATATTTCAGATATTTATGGATTTTTCCATCGGGTTGAGAAATAAACTACGTTGAGTCATAACGCGAAACGCGCTGAATTCACGTCATAAGCTATGTAATATTGACGTAGAAAAGATATACCATGTCCTTTGAACGTCTTCAAGTGTTGTATATTTTCCTTGAGCAGAGCAAAATCAAGCAACAAAGCCTCATCAAATAGCATTTCACGAAATCGTAACTCCATCTAGAGTGACGGAACGCTCCAACGGAACCTTTAAAAACAAAAAACAAAAAATATTGTCGTGGAGAATTTCAATTTCAATACTTTTAACCATTAGGGCTGGATATATGACATTCCAATTTCATTTATCCAGCCCATATGATTAGAAGGTAATCAAAGGTATACGCATCGCAAGTTTTCATGATACGTGTTTCATTTTTTGAAGATGGAAAATTGAACAAGCGTTCGGGAAATATTCTCTAAGAGAGCCAGATATTGCATCATAGCAAATAAGAGTAATCCTAACGGATCCTCATGATGCTGCCAATCAGTGACTCTAGTAAAGTGACTTCCTCTAAGATATGCTCGCAGATAATAGAGAGAAATGTATGGTATGTTAAAACAATATCTTTTCGATGACGAAATTTGACATTGTTCTTCCCGCACGATCTTTTAATTTCATCAATGATATACGTGAAACACTAGAAAATAATATTTGCACAAAACCGGTGCAAGTGAAAAAGAGTTTGAATTTCGAAAGCTATCGACTCACAATTTGATGATCTGGTGAGGAGAAAATTCTCAAGAGAAGGTGTGCACACTTGAGGAAAAATTTGGTAAGAAAACAAGCGCGAGAGCAATCCCCAACCTTGCTACAACAGAACACAATTTTACAATTACTATTACAAGGCTATTTATTTACATCACAAGAGTCCCTTACTTATACACACAAGTTCGTGGGCCATAGCAGAAGATATTGCGAGCGAAAGAATTGGTCTCTCCACTCGCGTTGATGCAACGTGGCCGGTGTTTAAAACACCAAATTCTTGATTAGATTGCTATTCTATAGGAATGAAAGAAAATAAAATGATTTTTTTATTATATATATATATATATTTCTTTATTTTTCACTTTGGTTGATTTTTTATAGGAATTTCATCCACAGATATTTCCCGTTGTTAGGAAATCGCGAAAGAATTAATCAAGAGCACAGGAAGGACGACAAGACGGTTCCTTCTCCCCAGAAAGATGCCACTTTTGGCAACCATGAGTCGACATAACCAACATGGTCCCGTCGCGGAAGGCGAACATCGCTTTCGCTTTCTCATGGCGAAAAGCTCACGCACGATTTGGGACCTACATGGCTGCCACTCTACGGGCACGCATGGACGAGCAGCTGAACGACCTTCCGTGCGTGTCTGCACCTCTTGCATGCCAACAATGGATGCATGGATGTGCACACGCACGCTCGAGAGTGGAGCAATAATGTAAACATTAATGTTTCTTCGACATCCGATTATTAAAATGCGTTCGATCTCTCCGGTTCTCGGACGCTCAACTGCAATGATCATGCCACTCTCACAACCTCGTCTGAGCCTACTTTCCGTCGAAGAATTTGTTGAGGTTGGTGCATCGATGTAGGTTACCGATCGGCGGTCCGAATGCGGTTTTGTGCATGCATTTTTCGTCACACATGTTCCGGATCTTCACAACTGTGCCCCATCCGATGCACACGACGTACGTTCCTGAAAGCCAAGGGCTCATATCCGTCTTATGCTGTGGCGATTGTGTAAGGATGACCGAGTCCTGTACCGCCTGGGCCCTACCCTACCCCACAACTTCAGGTTTGGCCTTCAGATATGGAATTTCCAGAGAGAGAGATACAATTTGAGCCGAAAATTAAATTACACGAATTCTCTCGAGGTATCAAAGTGGTTTGTTGGTGATAGGTTTGGACGAACGTGTCTGTGGATAAAGAGACAGCCAGGCCATGTCACCGGTAGGTTGGTATAGCATTGTTTGGATGACTCGGCCCATTCTGAGCTCGTAATTTGATGTCAGCACTGGTGAGTGAAAGATTTCTTGGAAGTCCTCTACGACCAGCCACAGTCAGTGATCAGAGCATGATTTCGGTATCCGACATGTGAAATGATTGGAACCTCAGAAGTCCTCATTCTATAGCAGCAGAACCGTATCTGTTCGTTTGTCCGGAAAGCGGGACTCTAGCTCGGAAGGGATTATGTTGGCGAGCGAGATCAAGTACAGTTCGAGGTCCACATGGTTAACATCTACCAGAGTCTTGTAGTGCGCAGCTGTCCTAGAATGCAGCATCGGAGTTTTCATGGCGATGACAAGATTCCGTTTCAGTCTTTCCGGCATGCTCGAGTAAATGAAATACAGAAAACACGGTGACTCGATCCAGAGTTTGAGACTGCTGAGGCAAGATCTCAGTAAGATTTTGTACAAACATATGTCGTCAAATTCTATCAGATTTCGTCCACATTTGAGACTAACTTACACTCTCCTGACCTCCTTTCGTGGTAGAGTAAGTATAAGTACACGAAGCATTCATGTACACCTTTTAGAGAGATCAAGAGTTTCATGATCAAGAGTTCAATTAAACTATCGAAGGAGTCGAGGGTACGGATCAATTTGCCACTTACCGCAGGCGATGATGCCAAATTTAATTCCATAGCTTATTTTTCTTCAAATTTCACTACCGGTCGATTATGACAGCACTTTCACTTGATTTCCAGCGGACTGAGATGAGGAAAGTAATTGAAGCTTGCAAAAAATTAATATTTATATTTTTATCATATGTGGACCTCAACTACAGCGGAGGAGCCAAGAGTCCACGAATTGTACATTTGTTACTGACCATGAACAATAGCATACAGTAATCAGTTCACAATTTCTCAAATCATCACATAGATTGTGGCAGGGGAAGGTTGAAAGACTGGTAGGACGAAAAGCTATCTACAAGTACATAGAACTGCATCCAACATTCAATTCCTCACCAGCGAAGGCATTAACATCAGGGAAATGAACACACTGCCTCTAGTGGGTTGAATGGTGCGAAAATAAGGACACTCAGATGCTAGTGCTAACTTTTTAAACTTCGCATTTTGTGTCTAACAAGCAATCATGGCATAGTTTGTATAACGTCACAATCAACGCAGTACAGAAAGTTGGATTGATCACATTTTCATGTCTATACGCGAACGAGCATTCAATCAACTGCTGCAGACATCGTGATCTAAGTCAACACCCTACTGACAGTCTACTAAATCAGCTCGATGCGTGTGTTGACACTATGGCTACAAAAGACGCGTGGTATGAACTAAATGGCGAAACAGGCGTAACAATGTACACTGGTGCAAACACAACGTAACATCGTAGTGGATAAGATACTGAGCAGTAGCTTCACACAAGGGCGACCCTCAGAAAGCAGCAAGGAAG